GGCTAGGGGGAGTGCCTGCAGGCTTGGCTGGCTGAGGCAGGCCACTGCGGCCCCCGGGATCCCTGTCCCTCACGCACCGAGGCAGCAACCAGCTTCCAAGCAACGTGCCTTTCACTCAGACATGGCTGCAGCCAACGCATGTGCCTGACAGCCAGCCCAGGTGCATGGGGGGGCTGCACACCTGGGGGCAAAACTTGACTTTAGCAGGATACAAGCAGCACTGGGGGGTGCCAGTGACTTTCAGATCCGGGTGGGGCCTAGCCTGGTAACAACGGCAGACGTCACATTGCGCCAGGATTGGGGCCAGGGTGGGGAGCACTATGGGGTGGGGAGGGGTTCTGGGTGCACTTCAATACATGCAAATATATGCATACATCATAATACATTAACTTAATATGTGGATGGGGAGGGAATTCGGGTTGCAGCCCCCACACACGAACACATGCATACTATGCAAATATATACATATATGCCAATGGCCCTATTGAATAAGTAAGTATGAGGGGGTGGGGAGCATGGTTCAGGGTGCAGCCCCCACACACAAATACAGATACTATGCAAAAATATTATGTGCACCAATGTCCCCACTTAATATGCAAATATGAAGGGATGGGGGCGGGGTTCAGGATGCAGCCGCCAGAAACAAATACATAGATAGTATGCAAATATATTATATGTGCTAATATTCCCACTTAACATGCAAACATGAGGGGAGCGGGTTTGGGGTGCAGCCCTCACACATGAAGACATAGGTATTATACAAATATATGAATATCCTCACTTCATATACAAATATGCAGGGATGGGGGATTCAGGGTGCAGCCCCCATAGAGGTGTACACAGATATTATGCAAATATATACAGATATCCCCACTTAATATGGAAAGAAGAGGGGATGGGGCAGTTTGGGGCGCAGCCCCCATACCTTAATACGCAGGCATTATGCAAATACATGCATCTGTGCTAATATCCCCACTTAATAGCAAAGTGGCGGGGACCGGGTGGTCTGGGGCACAGCCCCCACACGAGCACGCAGATATTGTGCCAGACACGCGAGGGTCCCGCTCGACACGCAGACGCGGGCGGACACGCGCGGACCCGCGCCCCGAGGTGCTCACGAGGCGGCCGGGCCGGGCCCCACCTTGGTCTCCTTGACATGCTGCTTGACGCCCTCGGGATACCACTGCACCCGCACGTAGCCGCGGCGCAGGGGGCTGGCTCGGCTCTCGTCCGCGCCGCCGGCCCCGGGCTCGCCCGACTCGGAGCCGCC